CTCTCTCTCTCTCTCTCTCTCTCTCTCTCTCTCTCTCTCTCTCTCTCTCTCTCTCTCTCTCGCTTTCTCTGTCTCTCTCTCTCTCTCTCTGTGTGTCTCTGTGTGTGTCCCTGTGTGTGTCTCTGTCTCTGTCTCTGTCTCTGTCTCTGTCTCTGTCTGTCTCTGTCTCCCAGTGCATCTCTCAGAGCGTTTCTTGTTCTCTCTCTCTCGCTTCTTCTATCTCGACGCCGTCTCCTCTCACCGGGGCACCAACACGAAGCTCCAAAACCGTCCCCAAACAACCACACATTACGCACTCTTCTTATCTCTCCCGCTTTGCTCACCGTTATGGGCCTCGGGGTCTTGAGTCGGTGCTGCGGCATCTCGCTCTCCTTCTTCCCGAGCGTCAGGAACAGCAGGCAGAGCGACTCCTCCATGCGCTCCGTCACCCCCACCCACAGCGCCCCTTCCATCCTCCGAATCGCGGCGTCGGCGGTTCGCTCGAAATACGCCTACCAACGAGCGGTCGAGCCGGGCCAAGCCGATGAGAGAGGAGGACTTTCAACAAGGATGCGGCGGGATTTCCAAGGGATAATGGGGAGCCAATCAGATGGAGAGACGGTTCCGGTGGGGAGAAGGCAGCAACTGCGGAACCCTCAAGTCGCTGGAAGAATGTCAGCTATGTGTACCGATTCGCTTCCATCATTCTCTCGTCGTCATTCCCCCCAAAAAACTGAAAGCCACATCTTGAACAAGAGCACAGAGGTGTCGTGAGGGACGTAGCTGGTGGAGGGGGGGTCATCCAGAAATGGGAACCAAACACCATCATCACCCGCAGCCCGTCATGGCGTTTTCTGTGTCGTGCGTCGAAATCTACGGCAAAACCCTGACGTGTCATAGTAGTCAACGCTGCCGCGACGCGGGTCCTCCTCACCGCCCACACGTCCGCGTCCTGGCCGGAAGCCTTGATGGCTTTGCACGTCCCCCCCACATCGGTGTCGTCAACCCTCCATCGGTTGAACTCCGGGTCGGGTCTGATGCAGGGGTGGCCTTCTGCCGCCCCGTAGGACAACCAGCGTGCCTGCCTCGCCGGCCAATAGAGACGGGTAACGTTCGAAAAAAAGAATTGCTGTCAATGGAGACGGCACCGTGGGAAATGGTGTCAATAGAGATGGGGCACCGTTCAAAACAACAAAATAAATAGGGTGTTTCGCGGTGTGTGGAGACCTATAAAGCAGGCGTTTTTTCGGTGGATCCTTTTCCGGTTCGATTGTCCGCTAGTGTTGTTTCCCATCCGATGTCCATCTCTACTCGTCAATCACCAAGGGTCACAGGACAGCGTGGTTCCTCGTACAATACCAACCAAGCACACCACACACAAGAAGCAACAGCGCAGCGGTGTACTCGTTCTTAACCACCAAAGAAAGTGCACAGAAACAGAGAAGCAGGTAAGACCGACAACCGTGAAGATAAACGAAACGAAACAGAATCTCGCGCAGAACCAGCATACACCCGAACAGACCAAGGGAGGGACACTCGCAAAAACAACATACCTCGAAGTTCCTGTAGACCTTGTCGAACTGTTTGGAACCAACCCACATCTCTGGGTCCCGGCAGAAGTTGTACTGCTCGGTTTCCACCCCCTTCCCGTTAACTCTAGCGAGGGTCGCTGCTTCTTGGTCGATCGTCCCGTCTGGGCAGTCACCAGCACCAGCACCACCACCAGCACCAGCACCAGCACCAGCACCAATAACAATCAAACAAGAGTTAGTGGGAGCTAGCTCACCATAACGTTCTGGTCAACCGCAACAAAAGAAACCACCAAGAGCCAGTGCCTGCTCACGGCAACATCTTAGTCAACCGCACCATCAGCAACAGACAAAACGGCAGGGATGCTCACGATAACCCCCTTCTGCTGTAGCCGAGCGGAACTTAACGCGCGCACAACCGGTCAGGCACCGCGCACACCCGCAAACTTTTCTCGAGAGGGCAACTTTACACCCACGTACAACGTTCCTTCCAGGAACGATTCGTTTCTGCGGCCGCTCTGATTTTCCCAGCTCGACCTACCGCAAAGCCTAAGGTTTATCTGCTAGAGTAGCGGCTTGCGGTGTAACAGGGGATAATAAAGACAAAATCGTATCTGAGAGGGTGTTTTCGGCATGCTCCAACCACGAGAAATGGACACGCTACACCGTACGGCTGAACAGAAACACCGGATTGAAAAAGGTGTCGTTGGCTTGTCCCTAGCCTCTCATAGACTCAACACGTCGGCGCCACAAAGCCACCCGCCGCCACACTCACTGTCGCTTATGTGCTGGCCGAACCTGCAGACGGACTCGAAGAATATGGAGGCCTTGTGCAGGAGGGGGTTTCGTATGGTGATGAGCACCCTCGGTGTCTTCGTCGGCGGGATGCCGATGGTGTCGGTTACGTTTGCCCTGTTGTGGGAGAACATTAGCTGTCGAGAGGCACGGAGAGCAAGGTTGTGGGGGTATGCAGAGTTTGCGGGAGGGGGGGGGGGG